AAAGAAGTGTGATTGTATAGAAGTCTATGAGAAAATGTTTCTACTTGTCAGCTGATTTATTCCCTCAGTAAACACTTTCCTGCTGAGTTTCTGGTCTCAGTCGCTAGTTTCAAGTCTTCTTCAACACAGCATGATGTTCATTTAGTAAATTATGGTCCCATTTAGAGGAACAGAGACCAGGAAGCAGGGGAGGCTTTAGGGCGGGGCTACAAGCTGATTGACAAGTCGCTACCACAGTGCAGTGATGTGTATCCCTCTCTAGCTCCACCCTGTCATCCAAATATTCTTATTTCTGGTTCCAAAAAAACAAACTCGAGGCTTCAAAGAAAGCTACGCCAAAAAACAAAACAAACAACACAAAGCCAAAGAAAGAGTATTGAGAGCCATCCAAAAGATGCCATGTCCTAAATGCAGTGCAGCAGAGTAGACGCAGTATTGAAACCCTGCCAAAAGGCATGCTGGACAGGGGAGTGTTGAAACCCAGCCGCCGCAGCGAGTGGACATGGACGGGACGAGCCAAAAGGCAGAGCGAGCGGAGAACAGAAACACATCCAAAAAGCCTGCGAGTGAACTCCCGCCGTGCTCACTAATCAGCCACAGTACAGAGGCCGAGCCAGACAGACAGGGAAGCAGCCAGACGGGGAGAGAGACACTGACAGACAGACAGAGAGAGAGAGAGAGAGAGAGAGAGAGAGAGAGAGAGAGAGAGAGAGAGAGGAGGGGGTGGATGTCTGGAGTCCAGCTCACAGAGCAGTCTGGGGCTTCCTGACGTTTTGCTGATTCATGCTGAGAGGAAAATATCTCTAAAAGACAAACCAGTTCTCATTAAGCATATAGATTTACTGCAATTCATCACTACTGCACACAAGTCGCTACCTCACTATAGGCTTTTATATTGTGTTTGACTTTATTTCATATGTATTTTTATTGGATTCATATATTTTGACTAATCGTGTCTTGGTCTCAGAATCTCTTTTCCATTTTGTCTGAGCGTTGTTGGAGGGGGACAAGAACCACGTTGCTTCACTCTGTTGTGCGCAAAACAAATAATGACCTTAACGAATTTCTCTGCGCAGTCGGTGTGTGACATGTAATAACACACCGAGAAAGTAATGGAGCGACTCATCTCAATGTGTCACTTTCACCTGGTGGAGTCAAGTCTCACAGACGCTGCTTCCTCTCAAGACCTGCAAACCAATTCTTCTCTGGGATTGGCTGACCTAAACCCCAACCATGACCCTAAAGGTACAGTCACGCCATAGATTTCATCCACCATTCATTTCAGTGACAAACAATCTATATTCACGTACACCTCCTGGCTGGGAATGATCTCTCACTATTTACTTTCTAACAGACACAACTGCTGACAAAATTACACAAGAAGTACGGAAGCCCAAAAAGGCCCAAAACATGCACAATTCACATCTCCAAGTATGTGATGAGGTTAATGACAATAACGTGTTTGATTTGTTAGCCTGCCGGCTCACACAGCTTATGTTTACGAGCCTGCCCACACTACTTCCTGTCCCGCCTAGGGTTGGGTTTCGTTCAGATTTGATCATAACGATTCTTCCAATCGAATCTCGGTTCTGATTCTTCAAGACAGATCTGGTCAGCGCTCAGTGACCTTCCTCCTCTTCCTCCTCGCTCCTCTTCCCCTGCATGTCTCTAAAGAGAAAGGAGTCTCTGTCCTAGAGGGGCGTCTCTGGTACTCGTCTCGTCTGTAGCCATCGTCGGTTTCCCTTCAGTATAAAAGGTGAACGTCGGCTCACCTGAGGCGTTGCTGCTGTTAGCGTTAGCTGGATCTGGGAGAGCGCGACACGTTGAACACGTTGAAGTGTTCCTTCAGATTCACGCCGCGTTGAAGGAAACGCTTCGTCATGTCGGAGCCGCTTCCTCCCTTGCACCAAACTTCCTTACTGCAGCTGCTGCAGGTTTTTAGTGAAGCTGAGTCAAACTTTGGAGAGTTTGCCGCGGTCCGCCACGGTCCAGGACCAGAACCAGAAGGACCCTCTTCGTCACGCTTTGTTGACGTACTGCGTCACAAATGATGGATAGAGTGGAAAATGCTGACTGCAGTTCAGTCAGGAGCTGAGACACGCAGAAAGTTGGGAACCGAGAAGCAGAATCCAAACACACGGGTCTTAACGAAACCACAGTTCTTGGAAATATGGTAACGTTCCAACTTGGAACTGGTTCTTGATACGGAACCCTAGTCCCACCTGCCTTTTGCCCAATTACACAAGTACCTTTCAGCAGGGGAACTCTGCACAGTTTAGGGCCAACAAAGAGCTTTTCTTATTAGAGGAGCTTTTATTCCATCTGTTTCCTGAGTAACCGTGACCTCCGACACATTTTTAAACTTCATGCCATTTATTGTCACCAACTTGTAAATGTAATTCAATTAATTAAGACTAAATAAAGGTAACCTGTGCTTTATTTTACTGGTATTTAAATTCCAGAGGAATTACTATGTATTTAGGCTTCAATTATAGAGAAAATAAATACAATTCATATACTTCTGTACAAATTGTGAAATTTTACTACAGGCAAGTATACAGTTTAACATATATGTGAGTAAAATGTCCAATAATAAATGAGGAATTAATGATTATTTACTTTAATGTTCTAATGGAGAGATTTTCTTTCAAGGAAATTACTATTTTCTCCCAAATTAAGAGACTTTTTAGGAAATCATCAGGACATTTTGGACCCATAAAATATAGTCTTACCAAATATGTCATGTAAACTGACTTCTAGCCAATTTATGCACAAATATACATAGAAACATTAAATTCTACATAGAAAGATTAACTTCCTCAACTCCTGATGTGTAACATGATATTTAGCTCTGTCTTGGAAGCTGTTGGTGCTGCTCTTTAATCTTGGGTCGGAGGATGTTTGATAATCTACTGATGTTTCTTTTTATTGATTTCATGACTGTTAACGGCCGATCAGATCAGAGAGAGTTTAAAGAGAGGACACTGATTGATCTGCTATTGATCACTGATTGATGCCCCCCAGAAGTCACACTGCGCTAACAACACATCACACTCACATGAAACTAAAGAGGGTGGAAACTCGTCTTTCTTTTTAATGCTTTTATTGACTTGTTTGTTTTAAATTTAAATTTTATTTGTTAAGTATTTTATAGTATATAAGTATTTTTCTGTGCTTTTAAATTCACACATGGAAATACTAGCAAAGATTTTAGGTATCATTAATTATATTACATTTAAATGGTAAAACAAAGATGCACACTACTTTTAGGATTTACTAAATTAAACCAGTTTTCTTTTTACTTCAAACTGTGAACAAACTGGAATATATCAAAAGAATTAGAAGAAAAGAATGCATTAGCTTATATAATAAAGTATTTTTGATTTTATTATTTTACACCACTGTAAAGATCTGTACTGTATTCCTACTAGATACTACAGCAGGTAGTACTACACTGTGCTAAGACCATAGTAATAAGTAACACAATAATCAAATTTTGTTCTTTCCTGTGGCCAGAAAGCAACTTTTATGTATAATATGTAGTTTTCTGACAGTTTCGGTCCCTGCTGGTTTTCAGACTAAAGTTTTGCAGTTTGGACTGAAAACATGAAAACCATAGAAATGTGAGAAAAGCTCATTGACACCTGTCATTTGCTGCTTTCATCTCTTCACACAGTTTGTCCTCGGCTGCAGATCAAAGCTGCCTTCATGCACAAGCAGGCTGGTTTCACTGTAATATTCTCAAGATATGTCTGTAGAAGCGCGGTGTGTTCGCGGTCAGTCCCACGTTTTAAATCCTCCTTAGGTTTTGTTTTCGTTCATCGCTAACTCACTTTGTCTGTGTGCTGTTCCTGCACCTCTCTGTTCAAACGCTGCGAGCGACATCTGCAGGCCACCGACGCACACTGCAGGCTCTTCTGCCCCAGAGGACTCAGGTGGTCACGTCTGGACATCACCAACATGAGCAGATCGCAGCACACTGTAATGAAAGAGAACAAAGCAAGCAGAGAGGAAAGCTGTGCTTTTAATTATTGTTTGACTTGTCAATTATTGGAGGGGGGGCTCGCATTCACCGTGGGTGATGAAAGAAACACTATTTCAACCATGTGCGCCTTGTACATGGTAGAACTGACAATAAAGTTGACTTTGACTTTAACAGCGCCAGTCTAATAAAAAAACTTTCGTTCTTATTTTATTCTTCTTATTCTTACTACATTATTATGTTTATAAAAACCTCCACAGTGAAAACTAGGGAAAGTGCACAAGACAACATGGACATTTGATTTTGCAAACATATTAACCAAATTACTAAATAAAATAAAGAACGTAGCCTATAGCTATATGTAAACTGTTTCTCTAAAAAGTTGATAACAAAATAATAAACAGGCCAACACCGATTTAAAAGTATTTTAAATGAATAATCGGAATCATCAGAACACACAACAACAGATACTGGCATGACAGGCAAGGCAAGTTTATTTGTATAGCACAAGGTAATTCAAAGTGCTTTACATAAAACATAAAAGCAACATAGGGGAATTGAAAAAATACACATTCAAAAATATATAAGTTACAGTGCAGTGTACAATCAGGGTTAAAAGAGTCAAATGGAAAATAAAAACAGGCTGAGGGGTTGAGCAAATAATTGAGTTAGAAGGAACTCAATAGAAGGAATAGTAGAAGTTGGTAAGCAGATAATATAATATAGTGTGAAAAAGTAAATGATAATAAATGTGCATGTGTAAAGTTTTATACATTATTAACAGAGGTGTTAACATCTTGCTTTGGCCCAGTGTTTGTGTATCTGAATGAGAATGAAGCTGTTTGAAGCTGAATAGACATTAAAAGACCAAAGTAACTGATTCAAGTTAAAGGAACAGTTTACATAATCAGTCCCATCATCACATCGTCCTTCAGTTCAAAGAGTCAAAGGGTTCACGAGGTCAAATCAAAGTGCAGATTTCTTCTGTCTGACTGAACTTCAGCCATCAAACAGTCTGATGGCTGAATTCAAGCGTCTCATTAACATCTTAAAGAGGCGTCAGGTGTTTGATGGCGGCTCCAGACTTCTGGTTCTGTTTAAAACTGGACACTGGAGGACTCTCAGAGCTCAGAGGCCACAGGAGCAGCTCCCCGGACACTTCTTGGGATATTAAAATCTAATCATGGACGGAAGCAGAGTGTCGGACTTCAGCATCGAGCGCATCCTCTCCCCGCAGCTCGGACACAAGCCGCCGGGGACAGACATTTCACCAGATGGATATCTCCAGGGTCTCCCCGGTGGATTCTATCTGGACTCTGGGAACCGACCTCCGGTCCCTCCTGCGCCGATTCCGGTTCCAGTGCCGATGCCAGGCTACCTGCAGTACCGAGGGTTGAGATGTGGAGAGGCGTTCTACCCGTACGGGACCGGTTTCCATCACACAGACTGCACCTGCATGTATTCAAACTCCGGAGTTTACCAGCACTTCAGCAGCCAGGACTCTGCAGGTAGGCCTCACTTGTTTAGCTTTAAACACAAGTTCAAATACTTTAAGTGCCAGCTTTCATGAACTTTAGGATAAAATCAGCTTGTTCCAAGTCAATCAATTTCAGTTAATCCTTCAGAAATAAGACAACAGAAGTCAGGATCATGTCTGCATTGCTTCTGTTTCACGTTACTAATTCATTAAAATCTTGTTGTTTTTTTTACCAGATGCTCAGTCTTTGGCCGGTTATCATGGTTACCATCAGGCCGGGGCGTCCGCGCAGTCGCGTCAGAAGACCCGGATGAGGACGGTGTTCACCGACAGTCAGACCAGGCAGCTGGAGGCGCTGTTCGAGCTTACGGACTACCCGGCGGTGCAGGCGCGCGCTGAGGTGGCGAGGAGCACCGGGCTGAGCGAGGAGATCGTCAGGGTGAGTCCGACATCACTGTGAGCGTGTTCAGGCGGGAGAAAGACAAACGGGCGTCCGCTCAGGGCGCTGCGTAAAAGCTCTCCAGAAAGGCCTTTTACGCACCAACTTTTTAATCAGAAAAAGTCTAGCCTATCAGCGTAGTTTTTTAAAACCATGTAATATTCATTGTGGGGTTCAACAATGGTGATAAATGCTCTAAGTATATATTTTATGAACGTTTAGAGTCATCAATATTTTTACCTAGTGTGAGTAGCATTCCTTGAGATTCAGCAAAAGATATGCGCTGAAAATCGCAATGTCAATTTGATCAATGTGCACAGCAAAGTGTCTGAAAGAAACTTAAGAGGTGGATGCATTACTGGGCAGAACAGATCCTGCCCAGATCTGCATCCACTTCTTTTACCAGCGTATAGACCTATGAGTGTAACGTCTCGCGAGGTGCATGCAATTTCCAGCGGGCATGCAGAACTCGGCAGAACAGGTCTAAAGTGAGTTACACCAAGTAGGCCGATGGCTTTCTTTTCATTTAACCGTATTTCTTCTCCATTAAAAAGTCGTACTTGATTTGATGAAAGAAAAACCTTTACTGCCAACATGGTCTGATTAGCACTGTAGGACGGAACACGTGACCTTTCACAATAGAAATATCTGTCCTCTCAGACAGTTAAGGAGGTTTATATTGTTGCTGGAGGCCACTTCATGGCAGATGTTTTTTTGTTAAGGTAACACTCTCCTGCTAAGAGAACATGCAGTTACACCTCTTCTCTCTCTCTCTCTGTTTCCAGGTGTGGTTTAAGAACCGCAGAGCCAGGAGGAAACGGCAGTGCGGCGAGTCAAAGGTCAGATCCCCCTCCCCTCCCCGCAGCGCAGGAGCAGAGAATAAGGTCGTCACCTCCTTCATCTGAACCCACAGACTGCCCACCTGCTGCTCAGGGGTCAAACTCCTACTGGACTCAAACTGTGAGGGCCTCGCACCTTCAGGGGTCAAAGGTCAGCTGATCGCATCCTGCTCAAGGGCACTTCGGCACGGCAGATGCTCGCCATCCTGTTAAAACAACTGACTGCAGCTGCTCCAATGGCTGCTGGCGATCTAATGTGACACTAAACTAACCGTAGATGATGCATTCAGGGGGCTGCTGTGAAAGTCAGACACCTCAGACATTCAAGCCCTGGGGACAGTTAACTATGAGGCGTTCAGGTAGAGTTGTTCGGGTTCAACTGCAGTTTATTCTCTATCGAGTTTTAAATTATTTTGTATTTCTATGTAATTTATTGACATCAGTGTATTAAAGATGCTGTTTGTAGGTTTTTAACACGAGCACCATTTGTAACCTGAACAGGTTTTGTTACAAAATAAAATTTAGATTTCATGATATGAATTCTGTCCTGTTTATTTTTATTCACTACAACACACGATTTATAATGTACTATTGATGCACACACTTTCGACATTACACAGTCATCTGAAGTCCTATTATTTAACTTTTGGGGGGGGGGGGTTATTATTAAAACTTGTGTTGTATTTCTGCTGTTTGGAGAGGAAGGTCTGCTCCGATAATTGACCACTAGGTGTCAATGTTAAAACTGTTTTTTTCAAGGCTTGAAACCAGAAGTAAGGGGATGCACATTTACATTTAGAGCATTTAGCTTTTGTCTCAAGCAACTTACATCTGTCAGAAGAAAGTTAAAAAGCAGTAGATCACTGTTGGTGGAGTTAAGCATGTCAACAGAACAACTTTCAAGCACTCATAATCAATAGGTTAGACAGAAGAACCAGAATGTACAAGCAAGTGCTTCACATGTGTTGGTAGAGTAGTTGAGTACAATTTTGAGGTACTACTTGGGCTTGTGGCCCTGTTGTACAGAGACCTTGAGTCAAGACCTTTATTATTTAGAAACCCTGAAGCCAGATAGTATTGTTTGGACAAAAGAGGACTGGTTGGTCTCTGGCTCTCTATCACGACTTATAGTTGCTGTGTGCAGTGGGAGGCTGCGTGATCCAATCCAGCCATGACTGACACGAGTCATTCTTAGTTTTACCTACTTCAATTTCATTGCGCTGCACCTCTACAGTGGCACTCAGCGCAGGACTCTTACTTACATTGAAAAGGATTTCATTGTGTTATTTGTATTTCTACTTATGGATCTGAAGACTTCCTCCAGCACTGCTTGAAATGTGGGAGAAAGTCTTCCCCCTCACCAAGAGAACTGACAAGCTGACCTTCCAGCTTCACGTGGATGCTGTGTGTAAGAAAGCACATCAGGGTACTTCTATCGAAAGTGTAGAAGTTTTAACACTGACAATACTTTATTCCTGTTTTATCAAATCAGGCCTCACATTCTCCTTTGCCAGCTGGTACCCCTTAAGAAATAGAAACAGACTGCAGGGTATCATCAAAGTGTGCAGCATAATTGCAGGGATGCTTTTGATTTACCTTCCTCATCTGTACAAAGTTAGGGCTTTTGAGGGAAACCCAGTCAGTCCTGGGTTGATTCTAGCCTCCCCCGTCCAAGGAGTTCATGCTGCTTTGTCCGTCCATATGATTGTGTTGTTACTGCCGGCTGTACAATCCTTGATCCTTAATGGAGAAAGCCATTCTCAGGCATTTTTTGACATTTGCTTGTCAGTTTTGGACTCTGTATTTTAAGTTTTGTTGGCCAGAGCTTTTTGTTTGAGTGGTCTGCAACTTTATTTGTGTTTACATTGTAAATATGCTTTACTTTTCAACAGATTAAAAGGATATTCTTAAGAGATAAGATGCCGTTTGCATGTTTTTAAATGGAAGTGAACAAGAAACGAGCACAATCTGAGTGTATTTAACCTGTCAGTGCCAAACTGAACACTAACCTCCGTTTTAAACTCTGTGTTTTGCTCTCATAGCTTTCCAATAGTTTGAAAATATATTTCCTAGAAGATAAGATGATTTCACAAATTGGAGGAAATGTTATTTTATTATTGATAACGGCTTGCTACCTACGAAATCAGAAGAGGTTGTCAATTACCAGGCTTCATTATGTTCATTATATACCTAAATGTACAAAATGAATTTCATTTTCAAAACTCAAACCTCTTAAATGTTTTCTGTGAGTAAAAGCAATGGACAGGAGAGGTAGAAAAACAACATCAAATTCTTTAATATATTCATCGCTGTTATTATTAGAAGCACTTCCATGCTGATGAGAGAAGATACACATATTGGAAAACCCAAATCAGAAAATACTGAGAGAAAGGTACAGAGAGAGAGAGAGAGCATGCAGTGAGTATCTGTTAGGATGAGGACGCCGATGCTCGTTCTCCCCTGTTTCCTATTTAACGTCCGTCAGCTTCACACACTTTTAAAAACAGGAGTAACTCACACTCATGGACTGTAACCAAACACAAACACACACTACAAAACCGGAGAACAAAAAGTACACTTAGTGAAGTTATCAAAATATAGGCTATATACTGTATATTTTTAAGACGTATTAATGTTAAAACAACCAGTGCTGAGTTAGTTTCTATGAGAATGAGTTCAACGTTATATTCTCACACACAAACACCGATCGATTATAGAGGATTCAAAGGACAAAACAGATACTCTGAATGTTTTGTATGAACTACAAATCACAAATACTTTACATTTCTGCTGATTATTTTCCAAATCCATCCATCAGTTTTTGACTTCCTTCCATCCTTCCAAGCATTATTTTGCCATGTGCCTATTTTGTGTGCACCCCAACTGGAACGGAAATACATCTAACTAGGGATGTCCCAAAACATAATCTCAAAGATCGGAATCGGGGCAGATCAAGACATTTTTTAACTAATGGCTTTATTAGCACGACCCTAAGCCCAATCCTTTGTTTTACATTAGCAGTCACACAAGTGTCATAAACGGAGAGACAGTTTGTGGTAAGATTTTGCTGCAGTGTGGAAATATTTTAAATTGGAAAGCAGCCACTTAGGACATCTGCAATTTGATATGGCACCTAAAGACACCCAACACCCAACGGAATAGTTGACTCAGGTAACTCGGACAAAGGCTGCACCACCGAGGCAACACACACCTGATTGAACTTTGATGTACTTGAAGTGTGCACTGTGCAGATGTATTATCTAGGAAAATAAGTATCAGATTAGGACTTGGTATCTGCAGATACTCAATATTAAATGACTCGGCTCGGGATTGGGGCAAAGAAACTTGATCAGGACATCCCTACTAAAAACTCAAGGAAGGCTTTGGAAACGAGTCAGCAGGAAATCAGTATATATACAGTAGTTTGCAGTTAAATCGTTAAAACAGGCAAACCCAGTGTAGTCCAAGTTAAATAGAGAATATGTAATGAGGAAAGCATATGTAACATTTTGTTTGTCATGAGAAGATTAACCAGTGACTCACTAGTGACATTTAGTGGCCAAACCAGAGAAAGCTCCACATTTACACAGCAGTAAGAACACCATGTTCAAACCAACAGAGGCTTCACTGGGACATATTGACTGTACTGTACGTTAACTGTACAAAGACAAACCTCACCATCACTGTGGGCCACTGACGTCTATGTTTACCTAGGGTGACGGAGTCAGCAGACTCGGTGGAGCTTTACAATTGAACAGCGTGCTGCAGCAGCTTAATTGTAGCAAAACATTTCCTGTTGTGAAATTATAAACAGATGTAGATTACCAGATGTGGAGTTATGTTAGTTCATCAGGCTCTTTTGTGCAGGTTTGAATGGGATGGCAGGGGGAAGTAGCAAATAGCACGAATGTATGAAGGTATAAAGCATTGAGTCATCTGCATATAGTGTTAACGTGACATCAGGATTCTCACATTTCAATAACCCAGAGTCGATGCTATTTTTCAGAAGTGGCTACAAGTGGAGTGTGAGTGGCTTCAGTTAGACAGATCTGGTTTTCTTGGTGCGAAAACAGTTCACATTAAGTTAATTTAGTTTGCTTAAATAACAGTTAACTTTGAAGGATGCTCAAATCTCTTTCAACTTCATCTCGTCCCTGAACCAAGCTGTAATTTTCAGGCACATTGTACAACAATACATTTTGGGCAATTGTGAAATCCTAGCGCCAAAATTTAACTTTTTTCCAATGTTTCAGAACAGATTTTAGCTTTCAGCAAAACGAACGCTAATTAACAGAATTCTAGATTTTCCAAGAAAGGTGGAAACCGTGGATTTGCTAACCCCCGATTCTTTTCCATTATTGTTCTTTTCGTTCCGCTGCAGGTGCTCTGCACCTTAACAAGATGATTAAACCAGCTGAACTGCAGACTGTTGGGCCAAAAAAGCACTTTTTACATAAGTGCTACCAGGGCAGGAGTTTGTGTTAAAAATGCTAAACTGATCAACCTCGTCACTTATCTTAAAAGTTGGGTGAAGCACTTGCACCATGTGACCTTTCGCTGTCTCATTTAGCAGCAACGCTCAGAGCTAAGCGTAGAGTTTAAGCTAGAATGAAAAGCTTTGGTCCGATCGCTGCTGGACTAAACTCTGCAATTGGTCGAGCTAAAGTGAGCACCTGATGAGTGTATGATTCCACTGGTACAAAAATGAACGATTATCAACAGCAGTGTGCAGGAGCAACCACAAACTGTTTCCTTTAGCCGAGGCTGCAGAGCACGAAGACAAACATTCTGAAAAAAGCATTACGATCCATAATTTTCAAGTGCAATCATCAATTACAATTTTTACAATTATAAATCAGAGTTTATACAGTTACAGACAGACATGACTAGTTTTACAGCTCTGGTAATGTTCAGTTGGATCTCTAAGATCTGTATGTTTCACGTCCCAAACAAAACATACAAATTTCATACGTGTAATGTAATTGTAGGTCTTTCCGGAGTTGTAAAACTAACTAAATCTGTTGACTTATTGTCATAAAATGAAGATCTGGCCTGTGAAACATGCAATACGTGCAAACTTTGTGTTTCCACAGTTGTGTTTAAATAGTATTTGTTTTAGGATGAAGTAAACTGTGTATCCACTTAGCTGTTGTGGACAAAACATCACGCTGGCTCTTAAACTTTTAAATAGTAGGTAATAAATGTGCCTACACAGATTATTTTACTTGTCTGGTTATCTTCTCAGCCTGAAAGCGTATGAACGTTTGTCTCGTCTCCGGCAGCCTCGGCTGTCAGAGCGTGAGCGTGTTTATCTCTCTGCATTAGTGTGCTTACAGAGTGTAAAGAGACATTAACACAGGAAGCATGTCCACACAGAGATAGGTATACTGTTCACATATTGCTGTTTTCACTTATAAAGCACACACGCAAGTTTAGACTGACTCGTGTTTTAGTTTTGTCTTTTGCAGATGCTCACATTCACAAAACTTACTGAAGAGAGAGAGGGATGACAGAGGAGAGGAAGAGGAATAGAGAGGGAAAAACTTAAAAAACATATCACAGACTCTGGAGACATTATCCAGGGTTTCAATTTCTACTTTGGAAACTCAAGATGAAGGAGTATTTAGAGTTTGATAGAGGGACACAGAGATGTACAACTGATTATCATAAACAAAGTTTTAACTCCAAACTGATTAATGTTGTTTTCAGACGCAAGAATGACGGCAGCAACACAAAAACATTAATATCACGTTTAGCGGGGCTGAAAACACTTTCTTGTTTTGGGTCTGTTAGCACTTTTGGTTAAGGACAGATTACGATTGCAGCTCTTTATAAGATTCCTATAATATAATGTATTTTAATTCTAACTAGATGGAATAATGTTTGTATTGGGCAAAGCACTGGTTAATAATGAATAGCTAGTCTTTATCTTGCTCTAATAAAATGCTGGCGTCTGCAGTGTTCCCTGTGTGACAGGAGGTATTTCACAGAGACCAAGAACCATTTTAAGTTAAATGACACCTGTTTCCTGTTACTTACATCTGAAGGATAATAAAAAAATAAAACTGACTGTAACAATACAATAGAATACACTTAAGTCAGTAGGTGAACCCTGTTTTCAGTCGATATCTGAGATTAAAGCATGCAGGTGATAAAACACACACAGTCTAAAGTTATCTATACATTTTCTGGGACTGAGGGCGGATCTAAAGCACTGATTTATACGCTTACTGTTAAAAATGTAACCACGGTTCTCTGAGTGGGGAAGCTGTCTGTCTCCAAAACGCGTTCAATTTAAAGTTCATCAGAGAGCTAATGAGTGTCACCGGTCTGGGTATTATCAGATAATCCGTAGGTCATTTGTAATTCAAAAACAAAAACGTAAAGCTGTTATTTGTTTCAAATAATATTTTGGCATCTGAATCAAAAACGGTCCATTTTGGAGTTTTGGAATTCCTTGTTTCATTATTCCTCTTTGAATTGAAGAATGAAGAGGTCTGTGTACTTCAGTCAATTCATAATTTAGTTTGAAACGTAAAACGGTAGTCACGAGGCCTGTTATGTTATTTGTTTCCAAATGAACAATGGACAGACAGGAAGCGGAAGTGAAGTGTAAAAAAATTAAAAATAAAAGTAGGCCTTTAGTGAAAAACTAAAACTGGGTTTGAAAAAAAAAAACATTTTATTTAACTGAAATAAAAATAACAACTAATAAAAAAACACAAAACTATAGTGGCTGTTAGGGAGAAGGAAGCATTTGTAAGCACAGACTGGTGACCTGTAACTTCAGATTAAGATAATGTGAACTAGTTGTTGTGAAATGTAATTTAGGATTGTGATTATAAATTTAATTATTGTTTAATTTATATTTTAGTTTGGTTACATACTCGGCTGTGTGGAAGCTCAACCAGCAGAGGCCCCCCCCCACGCTGAAGTGCCCAGAGGCACAACGATTACATTAAATATTTTAAATTCAGCCCGACTTATTATTTTTTTTGATTGCTATGTTCTGATCTGTGAAACCTGGTGAGCATTATTGTGAGTAAAAAAGAATCTCAAAGCATTTACTGCCCTTTCTAAGATGAATTATCTGCCACATTGTACTTTCTCTGCAAATAGTTGTATTATTTTTCTCTATTTTTATATCATTCTTATATAACTTGCATTGTCTATTCCATATTTATATATTTCTACATTTATTTATGTCAGCTGTATGTTTGTCTACGTGCAGCACCTCATCACCACAGCAAATTCCTCGTACATGTAAAATAAGACATGGCAATAAAGCTAAATGAGAGTACACATTGATTAGCTTCCTGCTGTAGGAGACTACTCCTTCACATAAACATATCATAATTTTGGCTCAATTTGTACCTCAGGGCGCCTCAGCAGGAGGGAGAGCGGCCTCTGCTGGTTAAGCTTCCACACAGCCGAGTAATGAAACTAAAATATTAATGAAATAATCCATCCATCCATCGTCAGCCGCTTATCTGCGTACAGGGTCGCGGGGGGCTGGAGCCAATCCCAGCTGGCATCGGGCGAAAGGCGGGGTCCACCCTGGACAGGTCGCCGGTCCATCGCAGGTAATGAAATAATCATTAAAATAAATTACATTTCACACCAACTAGTTCACATTATCTTAATCTGAAGTTACAGGTCACCAGTCTGTGCTTACAAATGCTTCCTTCTCCCTAACAGCCACTATAGTTGTGTGTTTTTCATTAGTTGTTATTTTTATTTCAGTTAAATAAAATGTTTTTTTTTCAAACCCAGTTTTAGTTTTAAGTTTAGTTTTATAATAAACTTGCTACATGGTCCTACTTTTTATTCTGAATTTGTTTTACACGTCACTTCCGCTTCCTGCCTGTCCACCGCTTGTTTTTGGTTTGGAAACAATATAAGGAATAGACCGTGTGACTTTAATGATAAAAGGCCTTGCCAAAACCCCAACATTTACCGTTTTTGACTGGTTTTGCAATTTTTGATTCTGACACCAAAAACATTTTCCCCTGTTTTTGAATTACAAATGAATTATCTGATGTCACCCAGACCGTCAACGCCAACTCAGCGGGATCAGTACTGTACTGCTTTAAAAGATGAGAATTGTCAACGTACATGTTAAATGTAAAAGTTCTTGGTCTCTGATTAGTGGTGAAGAAGCGGCTGCCAGATCTAGGTCCATCACTACAAACAACTTGGTACCCGATACGTTTTCTCTGGAAGTGCAGAATCAAATTCACACATCGTTGTGTTTGGACACTGACACTTCCACTGGCTCTCTCTGTCACGGCAGCCAACCTTAACGTTCGTTTCTAAATTCGGCGCAACCCAAATCGAGTAGCAGCAAAAGCAAAACATGTAGCAGCACAAACTAACGTTCTGTGGTTTTTGGTGTCCTCAGAGAAACAGCAGGTTTTTCTGCCCCAAAATAAAAATACAACATGGACAAATACCCAGCTGGGACAAAGAGATGAGAACTTGGTGAAACAAAAGACCTGGAAAGGGGTGAAGAGAATATTTTAGGGGGGATTGCTTTAGCAGAGCAGGATTCTCAGTTTCATTAAAGGAATGCAGGACGTTTTGATCAGATACAAGGCACTATAGATTTTGCTATAGAACGGCTAAATTAGAGGGATTTGGGCTCAGAGTAAGAGGGACGGGGTTTCACTACGAGAAGTTTGACCGACGAGAATGAAAGATTTATCAGGCCAAGAGAGAAGAAAGCAAAAGTAAAAGATGAAGAGACAGAAGAGCGGAGAGATCGATCTGGTGGAGGAGGAGTAGTAGAGGCCCGGTTAGGACTGCATCTCAGCACGCAGCATCCACGGAAACCAGCAGCAGAACAGCAACCTGGAGGAGGGGGAGGAGGAGGTGAAGATAAGGAAGGAGCATGAGAAGAAGAAGAAGAAGAAGGAGGAGAAGAAGAAAGGGAAGAGGGGTTGGGAAGGAAAAAGAAGAAAAGCAGGAGCACAGAGGTTTTAGTCAAACTCAAACTGAGCATGTGTTCACGCCACCTGGTAAATTCAGATGTTTCACTCACACGTGGGACATCGGAGAGTTTCACAGGAATATTTTTAAAACTGGGCCCTATTTTCACATATTTGGTGACCCCATTTGTTCTTAACAAGAAACTGAAGTCTCGTTCAAGGACAGCTCTCGCCCTGAAGTCTGATGAAACGCGAGTTGTTGCAGGAAGACACGAAAACACGAGGGAGAGGAAATAAAGTCTTGCTCGCAGATCCTCTACGTCCACGACAACAAACTCCTCTCCCTCGTGTCCACCAGCGTTTCCTGCAACAACTCGCCTCTCACGAGATTTCAGAGCGAGAGTTGCCCTCGAGTGAGACTTCGGTTCACCAGCAGTCCCCTCGTAGGGATCCTTTCCATGAGGTTTAAAAATACTGATATTAGCAAACTGCTCTAAAAGTACTCATGATTTAAGAAAATGGCCCCAGTGAGTTTTATACTATTATAATTTATATCACTGGATTATAATCACTGACACATAAAGTACCGTTGCAGTGGGTTGAGGCGAAGCTGTAAAGTAACCTGACAGTCTGACTTCCTGTCATTTGTCTAAATACATTAAAAGGGGTAAACAGTAGAAGAGTAGAAGTATAATGTAGCATACATTAGAAATACCCAAGTATTTGTACAGTACCTGAGTAAATTAGCATAGTTACAGTCCACCACATACTGCACAACCATCCTGAGCTGTGCGATGACGTGAACGCTCTCTCTACCTCATGAATGCAGCGTAAACCCACGAGGAATATTTCAGATATTTTAAGGCAGGAGGTCACTGAACAGCTGAGCGCAGCCTGACAGGTTACCAGTCAGTCAGTCTCTCTCCGTTCTCACCTGGATATGGAGCTCTCGGAGGTCAGGTCTTTAGGAGAACGCATCGTGTTGAAGTTACGCTTGGGCTGTGACACTGCCGGACACAAACAAACAATAGTCTGTCAATGTAAGCAATGTTCGTGTGACTGCTTCATGCAGAATGAGTGGTGTGTGTCCCAAAATCATTTAAAGGTCAGTAAGCTCTAAACACCATCATTTCTCCAGGTCTATGAAGATTTATGCATCTGATCCTTGAATAGAAATTCTGTATTGTTTGGTATAATTTCGGACATTATTCCTATCAGCAATGAAATGATTTTACTTTCTAACTTTATCACAGAGAGGAACTGACACTAGTACACACAGTTTAACAACCAAATCCAATTATAACACAACAAGTTTAACTTTCAACCTCGGATTCATCAGACAAATAAAATACCTGAATTTTACTATGATCATCCGCCACAGAAGTGTGTGCTGCATCCAGCTAAAATAAATCCAGGTACAGTAGGTACAGTAGGTACAAGGTTCTGCTGGGGGAGGGGGAGCGTTGAGGAACAACAGACACTTTAGGTGATTCTGTTTTACCGTTCACCTTTTAAAACGGGTTGAAGTGGGCTCGTCATAGATCTGTCTGATGGCTCATGTGGCGAGAACAACCATGTTGTAAGAAAAGGAACATCTCCTTAAAAGTCAGTCAGCACAATGGAAGATACTTACTGGTGACTTGGTGGACTTTCTTCACCATGGATTTGTCATTCTGTGATCCGTCTTTAGGGCCTCCGATTCTGACAAAACAGCAACAACGAAAAGTCAGTTTATTATTATTATTATTATATAATCATATTCTGCAGAGGAAGAAAACTTAACTAAACTAAATGCTATCCAGGTTTATAACAGGCTTCAAATGGTTTCAGTGTTATGTTTACTTTATTATTTCATGCTCTCATTAAATCCACCATGCACTTAAAACAACTTTAAAGCACCAAAACTGTATTAGTTAACTTGTTTTGACAGGTTCTGATCAGTAAATAAAGCAGAAAACGTCTTGAACACGCTCTTACCTCTGGACGCGGGAGGGCGGAGCAAACACTCCGTATTTGGGCAGGCAGCTGAAGTAGCGGACTCCAAACACCGAGCCGTCGTGTTTTCCTGTCGGCTGATCCAACTCGATACCAAACCAGTAACCTGCAGGGACAGAAACCGCTCAGGACACGCCTGATCTGACCTTTTACAATTTTATGAAAGAAGCAAATCACCACTATTTGTTGAAAACCTCTTATGGCAAAACTGTCACGCTCTCAGGACTAAAGTCCAAAATCCACATGAGAATCATAAACAGAGAGACTACTGTTTTATTCTTAGATTCATCATCACTAGTGATGAAAAATAATGTAAAACGAATGAAGGCTCAGCTCTGCCTTTAGATGAACATGCTAACATGCATATTAAAATGCTAATATTTAGGTTTAACGTAAGAAATAGCTTTTGTAACGCGGCTTCTGGAGCAGCTTAGTTCACTTTTTTTCTTGGCAGAAGTAAGGAGCAGTGTTTATTCAGATAGCCCATAAATCAAGATTAAAAAGAGACAGACTTGTCCGACCAAAGGGGGACAGGTTTAGAAAAATCTATGGTGTAAGTTGCTTTTGAGAGCTTCTGTCACATATTGGAGGAACGTCTTGACGGATTTTGTGCAGTTGTATCTTGAATTGAATTAAACAGAGTGTTGCTAACAGGCCCACTGAGCTCCCAGTGAACACAGTATACAGTGTAGAGGAGCAGCTGAAGACCAGCAGGCGGACCTGGAGCGAAGTCTGTTTTGCCGTAGAAGCGAACGATGCCGTTTTTCTGTCCAGCCACCAGAACCTGATCTCCGACTTCCACGTTCAGTCCCTCTGGATCCAGACTGGCTGCTGACGTCTTCTTCCTCTGGGCTGAGAACGCACAGCAAACGCACTCAGAACAATGACATTCACACCTAATGTGCCGATAATAATAAAACGACATTTTCTTACCCCTCTCTCGCTCCTTCTCCTTCTTCTCTTTCTCTTTCTTGGTCTTTCCGGCGAGGCGGGAGGCCAGGTCTATGCGAGGGGTTCGCGGGGTGGAGGTGACGGATGAAGGTGTCTGATCCACGGGTTTGGAAATCTTTGACACGGGGGCAAAAATCCCTGCAGGGCAAAAAAAAAAAAAACTCACTTTAAAACACACTTAAACCTCGAAGCCAGCAGACGCAGTGTGACACGGTCGCCACACTGCAGCTGTGTTTGTTTTCCACATGATGAATGTACGGCCAACATTCACTCTCCTTTAAGCTCTGGTTTGGTCTCCACCAACACCAACACGTCACATATGGACCACTTGGATCCAGATCTGGATGCTGCTGGACACTAGCTTCCTCCTGATCCACCAAGTGACCAATAACAAACCAATAAAACTATGGCATTCACAAGTGATTGGCTGGGGAACCAAGTCACTCACTCAGGGAGGGTGTCGAATATGACTCTGTTACAATATAATAAAAGCAGAATATGTCCAATATGTTCATTATGATTATGAAAAACGAAACTGAATGTACATCCATTTATGTGTTGTTTTTAGAGGACCTTTGTGCTTGGTGAAAGAGAGGACAGTTGGACGGACTAAATCAGGGGCTGAATAAATGTAAAAGTCTTCTGTAGCTGGAGTCAAAGCGTAATGCAACGACACTGCAAGCGTGTCTGCTGAAGCCCCACCCAGTGTTTGTAGGCAGCCTCTCAAAGGCACCATAATAGCAGCCGTTACCAAGTTTAGGAGGGCAGACGAAGTAGCGGACGCCGCCCACGCTGCCATCGTTTTTTCCCTCCGGCTCGTCGAGCTCCACGCCGACCCACTGACCGCTGGCGAACTCTGTCGTGCCACAAAACCTCAGAGTGCCGGTCTGAAAGAGAGACAGAGGGATAAAGTTCTGAAGTTAGAAGTGAGACCTCTCCAGGTGGAGTGAAAGGTGAACAGGAAGCGAGCGTGTTGTCAGAGGGGTGAGTCAGTTCAGTGAGTCTACGTTCCAGCCGGCGCCCGGTCCAACCAACCTGTTTGAGGTTTGGAGTCGGGCTGTCGTCTCTGCTCTGGTCTCTCTGGAGCTACACAGTGAGAACACACTGTTCAGAGCTCAAACTGGCAGCCATCACACAAAAGAGCTAGGCTACTACTGCATGGTTAAATGATCTAACTTTATTTTTTCTAATTGCCCCCTCGCAATTTTAAACAACCCCCTCAGGGAAACCTCGATGGCTTCAACCCTTTACCAGACAAATTCTGGCGTTATCCAATAATACGTGAGTCATGACCAATGGGAAGCGCATTCTGTGACAAACAGGCTGAGGGATAACAGAGCAGGACGATTTCCTTCTCTCATGCAAATCGCCCTGTCTTCATAGTAATAACACTTTCACTCAACTGCTTCTCAAAGCGGACCAGTTCAATATGGAGCGCTGACAAGTAGATTTTTCAGCTATGAAATGTATGTATCAGGACAGCTGTTTATGTTATTTCTTAAAATAAGCCCATTTCTTGTTATTGGAATTGAAAAGGTTAGGATCAGGGCTTCCCCTACAGTACAGACCTAGGGTGAAACAAAAATGGGACAGTTTAATCGACTCCCTGGTCTAAAGTTAGTAATTGTCAGAGTTTTGATTTTGATTTGTCGACAAGCTAAATTAAATGGACATGGTGCCATTTATTCTTGAGCAGTTGGTGCCAATCCCTGTCTTGTCCAAAATAAAGTTTGAGTATTAATACATGTATTTAAATATGGTTTGTCAGAACAATCTGCTCCTTCAGTACACAACTTTATTGCTAATTCAGCTGGTTACACTGTATGTTTCCTCCAGTTAATCATCAGCTGCTTTAAAATAAGTTCCGTTTTGTGGCGCCTCTGACCTTCATGTCGTCCAGCTGCACGCGCTCTCCCAGCTTCAGCCCCAGCGAGGACAGCATCAGGTTTCCGGGGATGTTGTCATAGTTGGGCAGCGTGGCTCTGGGGAGGTTACAGCTCAGTGGGAGGGAGTCCAGCAGCAAGTGCTTCAGCTCTTTGGCCACCATGGCGGCCTCCGCCTTGTCCAGACTCATGTCCATCGGGTCAGGAACCACGTCCGCTGGAACCAGGCCCTTATCATTCTGCAGAGAGAGAAGGGGAAGAAGAGTTTTGGAGGGTGCACAGACAGAATCAAGTGCATGATGGATTGTTTAGTGGAGTTGTGAGTGGGGAAATGGTTTGTTGTCCCCAACTCAGCCAATCAGTGGGGTGCAGGCGGGATTAAGATGTTAACGTGTTTCTTTCTTTGTTTTTCAACTGGTTGGTTAGAGCAATATATACACACACTCCTCTCCCGAACAGAAAGCAGCTATTATTAGTCAGACAATGAAGTGAGACGAGGTGGTGATTCACTGAGATTATCAGGCGACAGGTCAACTACCAGCCCTAAAACTGAAGGTAAGGTAAAGTGTGTTTACCCGGACGGTGGGGTTGGCTCCGTGCTCCAGCAGACATTTGACGGCACCCAGACAGAGGTTGGAGGCAGCGATGTGGAGAGCTGTACCGTAGTGGAAATCACTACATGTGGAGTTCAACACTGTGGAGACAACAAAGGGGGAGTTATTCTGAAATAACATCCTGACCTCCAGCTTTGAGTGAGCAGTCGCTGATGGTTCAAAATGAGCGCTACGCGATGTGATCTGTGTGTGTACCTCTGGGTTTACTGGCTTTGAGCAGCACTCGGATCAGTTCTGGGACGTCAAAGTAAGCGGCGTAGTGCAGGGCGTTCATGTTGGTCCAGCGGCTCCTCAGACTCACGTCGGCGCCCAGAGCGATCAGCTGGCTGCTGAGACGCAGCGCGGCCGCCGGGTCGCCTGCACACACAACCAGGTCCGAACTAAGAGGGGGTCCAGCTTTACAGCAGCAGAGGAGTGGAATCCACCACCCGCCAGACACGGCCCAGCTTCACTGACTCACTTCACATTAATATCAGACCTGAGTCCCTCGTCTGGCCCTCAACATGAGGTTTCTCCCTTTTGTCCTGTTAAAGAGGTTATTTTTGTGGGGGGGTTCATCTGAATCAAGGGTCTAAGGATAGACAGTGTTGGATATTCCGAGGTAGATTCGTGATTTTAGACTATAAATAATATGCACAGTGAAATAAGCTCCATCAAGCTTTGTTTAAACGATGTTTGTTAGTAGAATCTGTTGTCAATAATTAAAAGATAAAATAACAGCTGATTACCTTCCTATAAGTGCTGCAGTGTAGTCAGGATTGTGTCAGACTGACTGACTGGATCCATATTAAATAAGTCCTCTTACCGACTCCATGGGCTCCGGCCTTGCAGCTGTAGTGAAGCAGCGTCATGTCGGTCAAACCATCGCGGTCGTTCACGTGGCAACCGCGCTTCAGGATCTGAGACGCAGAACAGACCAAGCACAGGGTTCAGCGCAATTTATTATATGTTAGCTACCATTTCAGTCATTTTATCTTGGTGAATGTTTCAGTAAATCCCTCTTCCTCGTAAGAAGAACACATTAGCAGAAGAAAACAGGCGGCTCATTGTGGGAGCAGTCGGTTGGCTCCTCATTTCCTCAGTGATTTGTCTTCAGTTGATTAAACACACTCTCCTTGCGATTCAAGAAAACAGGGTGTGGGGGGAGTTCTTACTTTCCATCTGTGGCTCTGCCGCATCTATTGTTTTCTATCCGTAGACCCTATCATGTCTAATTTACACAAACAAAATCTATTTTCAATATCAGCCACAGCTGATACCTCTAATTTTAACCAACTGTCCAGGACCACCAACAAAAGGGATAATTCATTGGAAATTGAGCCTAAATTACTCATTTTATTTGTAGCAGTTTTTTAACAAGTTAAAGCCAATGTAAAAACAGTTTCAGCTTTTTAATTAGCAGACTGGGCACTATTATCTTAAATAATGGATTTTATTTTATATGTTTGATGATATTAACTTTTTTCCACCACTCTGACACTCATAACTACAGTCTGAACGGAATCATGGACCCACAATGCTCTTGGGCTCATAGGACACGGTGTTTAAATAAAAACAATGATATGAGGCTTAATAACGACACAAAACATAAAATCTCAGCAACTTCACTCCATTGTTCTGTCTGTGTGGTGTCACTGTCCTTGTGTTTTATTCCTCCAGGCCGAGTCATGGGAGAGCCTCGATGACTCTCCCTCTCTCTCTTCTTCTGCAGCACTCTCTCTTTTCAGGTCCATGCAGCCATTTAAACTGGATCATTATCACAATGTTTGTGTGTCAGCTTGTATTACTGACATTGAGGGGAGTCCCCCCAGCTGAACTATTAAATTATTATGAGTTAAAATGTTGATTTGGGTAAAGTTAGGGTTAAGAATGTAGATCATTCTCAGCGTTTCAAATATTCTCTGAATGTGTATTAATAGCCATTTAACAAACAACTGTTGAGCAAGCAGAACACTAATTTATACCTTTACTCCTCTGGGTTGTGGATATATTTTGCTTATCAAATGGTCAGAAATAATAGATTTCTGTCACAAGGTAGCTCATTGCCTGTACGCTTCTGCTTACTGTCCCGCGAAGTCACCCCCCAAAGGCCCATTCTGAGTCAGGAAAGCCCTGCTTAAATGACACAACTATGTACCTGTGCTGCTAATGCTGCTTCAAACAGCCTCTTTGGCACATTTAGCATCTTTCAGTCCAATTTTTAAAACAAGTAGAAGTCCAGCATTCAGGCTTTTGCTCATAAATACCAGCTTTATGCAGCTCAGTGAGATTTCATTGTTCATTATCTATGTGTCTGTGTGTGAGTGTGTGTCTGTGTGTGAGTGTGTGTCTGTGTGTGTGTGAGTGTGTGAGTGTGTGTCTGTGTGTGAGTGAGTGTGTGTGTGAGTGTGTGTCTGTGTGTGAGTGTGAGTGTGTGTGTGTGTGTGAGTGAGTGTGTGTCTGTGTGTGAGTGAGTGTGTGTGTGAGTGTGTGTCTGTGTGTGAGTGTGAGTGTGTGTCTGTGTGTGTGAGTGTGTGGGTGTGTGTCTGTGTGTGAGTGTGAGTGTGTGTGTGTGTGAGTGTGAGTGAGTGTGAGTGTGTGTGTGTGTGAGTGTGAGTGTGTGTCTGTGTGTGAGTGTGAGTGTGTGTCTGTGTGTGAGTGTGAGTGTGTGTCTGTGTGTGTGTGAGTGTGTGAGTGTGTGTCTGTGTGTGAGTGTGAGTGTGTGTGTGTGTGTGTGTGTGTGTGAGTGTGAGTGTGTGTCTGTGTGTGTGTGAGTGTGTGAGTGTGTGTCTGTGTGTGAGTGTGAGTGTGTGTGTGTGTGTGAGTGTGAGTGAGTGTGAGTGTGTGTCTGTGTGTGTGTGTGAGTGTGTGAGTGTGAGTGTGTGTCTGTGTGTGTGTGAGTGTGTGTCTGTGTGTGTGAGTGTGTGTCTGTGTGTGTGAGTGTGAGTGTGTGTCTGTGTGTGTGTGAGTGTGTGTCTGTGTGTGTGAGTGTGTGTCTGTGTGTGTGTGTGAGTGTGTGTCTGTGTGTGTGAGTGTGAGTGTGTGTCTGTGTGTGAGTGTGTGTCTGTGTGTGAGTGTGTGTCTGTGTGTGTGAGTGTGAGTGTGAGTGTGAGTGTGAGTGTCTTGAATCTGGGTCAATGTGACAATGACAACCGACTGTGGATTCGGGCTTCACGCCAGAACAGCTGGGGCAGCGATACAGACAGAGTTAAATGCAACTGCTTAAAGGCTTTAACCACAAGACAATAAAGACCTGCAGTCCTGCCATGTTTTTAAGCTAGCTTCCTTTGCATTACTATTGCTATTTTAGCTTTAGCATCAGATTATTCTACTTACCCCTAGACATCAGACAAGAAACCCATGTGTCATATTTGACTCAGGATTTAAAATCTGCTTTTATCTTATCTTAAAACAGCTCCGGGCTATTTCTCTCTGTAATGCTGTCCTATGTAATCAAAAGAAAGTCATACTTGTGTTCAGACATCATTCTCAAGAAGTTCAGCTATCTGCGTAAACAAAATTTGAAGGTATTGAATTGTTGCAATGTTCTCACCTCGTTGCCGATGACGTCAATCTTGTGCTGCACCTGGGGAACCCACTGACGCACGATGGCGAACAGCTCCGGGATGGTGGTCCGAGGATCCATGAGGATCTCCAAACATGCGGGGTCATTGGGGTCGAAGAAGGTGAAGGCTGGAGACAGATGAAGAAAGGAAAAGTTAAGGGTAATCCCAAAAACAGACAATGAGACCATGAATAACTAAAAGAGAAACAGAAAAAGGGAAAGAAAGGAAAGGAAAGGAGCTAAGAAAGTACAAGAAGAAAGATCATAGGAAAGAGAAAATAAAATGAAAAGCAAACAGCAGTACATCATTTGAGATGGTAATGCCAAGATGTTTCTGTCATGCTCATCAAATCAGAAGTAACCTGTGAGCTCTGCAGTTTCTGTTCCTGCCAGCTCTGCAGCTCTGAGGCAGATTTCATTTCACTGAGTAACTGCAATCTAACTTCACTTTTCCTAACTGTCAACAGCTCAGGGGTCCTCAAACAGACGGCAGAGAGGTTTAATAAGTCCCCGTGCAGACGGACTTAATCTGATGTAGTTCAGGTTGAAACAGGATTTTAGAATGGGATCAAGGAGGGATTGTTCAAAAATGTTTTAACTAACGAGATATTAGGTGCGGGGCTTGATGGGTTTTTATTTCTTGCATTGGAGGGGTGGGTTCACCCAGTAAACACCATTTCTCAGTTACTTCTGCAGACAGTTCTGGTTTTATTTTTGTCAGGTTGTGACGCAGATTCTTGAGATCCATCCAATTTCTGCTGCTTTTCCAGGTTTGGCAGCCGCAGGCTGAGCCAGGTAGCCCATACATCCTTCTCTCTAGCCACGTCCTTCAGGGTTTCTTGTGGGATCCTCAAGTGTTCCAGTGCCAGATGTGTAGTAGGTCAATTAGCCACTTTCAATGCAAAGCAGCCACAGTCTCCAGGGCCCTGTTCACACATACAGACTCAAAGTAACAGGCTCTCTCTTGTCTAATTTACATTCTCTGCTCTGACTGGACATTTACTTTTTTCCTTTTGACACTATACTGACGCGCAGAGAAGTAGTTGGTTTCCAAAGCAATTGCGATTTGTCATCTCCAGGTTGTCGCTCCTGCACGTCAGTGGAAATCTGCATAAAGCTGAACCTTTCTCAGCTCCAGGTGAGTCTTGAGTCTTCAAACGCAGTGGGCGGCGACAGGCTGCTATTTGGTGGTTGCATTAGAAATGAATGACAGCCTGTTGCACCTCTAGTGTTTGAGTTCCTTGTGTGTGAACGAGGGTAAGGGTGAGCCTAGCCATCCTGCGAAGGTCTGTCACTACCCAAAGCCCAAGACCATGGGTGAGTGTTGAAAAGTAGATCCACTGGTAAACTAAGAACTTCACCTCTTCACAACAATGGTCTTGCGTTGGCATCACTTGACCTTACACCAGTCTGCTTGTAGAACTCATGCTCTATTTCAGACACCTAAATTCCTTTCTTTGGGGCAGTGACTAACTCCCAACCCCTTGGAGGTTCTATGGCCTCAAACAGGGAGGTACTGACCCTCATCCTTGCCGCTTCATACTTGGCTGCAAACCATCCCAGAATGCAGGGGAGGTCACGGTCTGACGAATCCAGCAGCATCACATCATCCGTAAAAAGCCGAGATGCTGCTTAGGCCACCATACCAGACAATGTCCACAACTCAGAGGTGCCTAGAGATTCTCTGGATATACAAGAGCCGATTGGCTTCCATGGCAGGTATGGCCATAAGCCTTCTCCAACTTTAATAAAAAGATACAGACTGGATGGGCAAATCAGAATGAGAAGCAACTTTTTTGCCAAGTAGTGTTTTACACATGCGAGGAATTTGCTGTGGTGATAAGGTGCTACAAGTAGACAAACATACAGTCAAAATAAATAAATGTAGAAATATATATATATATATGGAACAACGTTGCAGATATATACATGTGCATTATTCTGGGTCTGTGCCGTGCAGAAGTAACGCAACGGAAGAGAATAACTATTTAAATCTATAATAAATATGTGCAACATGCCAGGTCTGAGCCCGACAAGAGATGAAATAGTATTTACATGTGCAGAGACAAACTCCAGTGTCCTTGCAAAAGGTAAACAGCTGCTCCTCTGTTCACCAACCAGGACTGAATCCACATCACTCCTCTTGAATGTGAGGTTGGATAAGCAGCCAAAGTCTTTGTTCCAGCACTCTGTCTTAAGCTTTCTTAGGGAGTCTGATCAATGTGATAGCCCAGTAGTTGGGAGTACACCCTCTGGTCCCCTTTTATATATTTAACAAAATTACAACACTTTTGTTTTTGCCTCCTTTCATCATGAGCTGAATTCAAAGATCTAAGACTTTCTGTATGTACACAAAAGGCCTATTTCTCTCAAATATTGTTCACAAATCTGTCAAAATCTGTGTTAGTGAGCACTTCTCCTTTGCCGAGATAATCCATCCACCTCACAGGTGTGGCATATCAAGATGCTGCATGGGTACTGCACAGGTGTGCCTTAGGCTGGCCACAATAAAAGGCCACTCGAACACACACACTTATGGTAGAGAAATGAACATTCAATTCACGGGCAACAGCTCTGGTGGACATTCCTGCAGTCAGCATGCCAACTGCACGCTCCCTCAAAACTTGCGACATCTATGGCATCGCGCTGTGTGATGGAACTGCACATTTTTGAGTGGCCTTTTATTGTGGCCAGCCTAAGGCACACCTGTGCAGTACCCATGCAGCATCTTGATTATCTCGGCAAAGGAGAAGTGCTCACTAACACAGATTTTGACAGATTTGTGAACAATATTTGAGAGAAATGGGCCTTTTGTGTACATAGAGAAAGTCTTGGATCTTTGAGTTCAGCTCATGATGAATGGGGCAAAAACAACAGTGTTGCGTTTATAATTTTGTTTAGAATAAAAAATGGGAACCAACAACAGACAAACTGTAACGCATGTTGAATAAAAGCGCTACATGAATGCAGTCCATTTTCCACCCAGGTCTGCCAGCGCTGTCCCCAACTTCCACACAAGTGTTTCATAGAAATTAAAATCAGCTTGCAGAGAACATCAACTCCTATCCACCCTTTCTGAACTGGGCATCTCTGGTACAGTGGTCTTTTGGTTAGAGGGTGACCGTTCAAAATAACATGGCAAGGACAAAAGCGATCCCTTCTCTTCAAAAACAACTTCTCATTTCCTATGCTAAAGTCTTGTGTCAGGTGCAATTTAAAACTGAGAGCTAGGAGACTTTTTCTAGATGTTACTTTACTTCTGTATCTTTGGACATTGTCAAATGAATAAAAGTAAATTAAACCAAATACTAATGGTATGATCTGGACTATGATCAGCAGGAATCGAATAAATATTAATCAATAGTTGGCTAAAACCTATTAAAACCTTCACATCTAGACTGGACAGAAAATAGTCTGTCAGGCTGGTGAGGAGGACCGCCCTGTATTCACTGCTGGATAATGGAGGTGGCCAGAAAGCGCACACAGAGTGTATAATGGAGCTGGCCTGCTCTGAGATTGTCACATGAATACCAATGAGCCAGTCGTCCATACAGCAGTCATTCCAGAGCTTTTCAAAGCTACTGATCGATCAAAGCTGTCAGTAATACAGACTGTCTGCACTGAAAATCCACTCTGGTCTACGATTCAAATGGTTTCTTCACTGAGTTTTTGATGTGTTTTTTATGGTAATTAGGGGAATGACTCTGCATTGGTTTGCCTGTTTATCCATAACGTACAACATCTCTGACAAAACTCTGGACAATTCTAACTACTTGTGTTTAAGGTGGTATGGTGTTGGGTGGTTTTTGGGTGTGGAGTGTGTATTAAAGTAAAGAGGTATAACAATTTCTATTTAAGGTGGTATAGCAGCGTATATATGTCATGACAGTATGTATTTAAGGTGGTGCAACAAGTGTAGTTCAGGTGGTGTGACAGTGAGTATTCAAGGTTGTATAACTATGTATTTAAGGTGGTGTAGCAGAATGTACTAAAGATGGTGCAACAAAATGTACTTCAGGTGGTTTAACAGTGTGTAGATGTTAGTCAGTATGTATTTAAGGTGGTATGACAGGATTAAAGATGGTGTATTTCCTACGTACTGTAGTCTTTGGGCAGCGGGGCCTGGGCGGAGGGGTGCACCATGGCTCGGCGGCGTGGCTCGTGAACTGGACTCTGGTACTCAGACACTGACAGCGGCTCGGGGTCCTGCTCGGCCTCACACTCCTGGCCGGCCAGTGGATCCTCCTCTTCCTCCGCCCGCTCCTCTCTCTCCTCCCGCTCCTCCTCCTGCTCGTCCTCATCCTCATCCTCCACCTCCGCCCTTTCCTCTCCCTCCCTCTCCTCGTCTTCGTCCTCTTCTTCCTCCTCTTTCTCCACTTCCTCCTCCTCCTCCTCGGTCAGTACCTCCTCCTCCTCTCTCTGGACCCTCCCCTCCTCCTGCTCCTCCCGATCATGCCTCTCCTTCTCCTGCATCTCCAGGTTCTCCTCTTTAGTCATGATGGATGCTGCAGCTGGGCCTGCCAGAGAGGAGGGTGGATATTTTTAATAATGTCACGTTTTTACCTTGCAAAAATCCCAGAACAATTCAAATCTTACACTGACATAACTAAAAAATGCTGCTGTTGGTTGAAAGTAGAGCGAAGTAGATTAATTAGGAAAGTTATTTATTTAAGTGGTTTCAGGTAATGTACTGGTGCAGTGACAACCCTGGGACAAAAAAGAACTTTGTAATAGTAAGCTTCAAACTGTTTCAGCATAGCTGGATGACAATGCTAATACTAATCCAACAAATCTTTACAGTAGCATACATGTTATTTCCACATTCCTACTTTAAGCACATGAACACACCGAAGTCGGAAGAACGACTTCCCAACTTGGGAAATGGGACGATCCGAGGAGCACTTGAATGCAGCATTAGACCTGAAACACAACAAGGACTTAACAGAGACTTTTGACTTGAACGGCTCTACTGCTCATCGTTTGGGTTGCCATCTGAGAAAAACTGATTAAATGCTTGTAAAATAACATTTCACTGATCACTGTGATGCCTCATGACAGCCATCAAATCAAGCAGACGTATCCTGTCTGAACCACACCCAGTCCCTGTGAACTAGTTCCCCTAAGACGGTGTGGTGAGGTACTGGATTCAGGTGGAACCAGCCTGATGCTCCTTGTTTCCTGTTTCTGCATCACCAGAGTGCTATACTTAGCTCAGGGAGTACGTGTTTGTGTGTGAGAGAGAGAGAAACACTGAGAAGCTAGCTGATCGACCCGCTTCATTGTACTGATAATGGCTGTAGCTGAAAAGGCTAATGCTAACGTCCATCATTAGCAGCTGACAGGACTGACTGGATTAAATCTACTCTCCACTTTAGCAAATGGACGAGACCCCGAAATCCATCCAGCAGCCCTCTATCATCGAACCGTCCATCTATCATCAGACATCCGAGGGAGAAAGGAAGGAGGGAAGGAAGGAAGGAAATATACAGATGAATTTATGTCTATACACATTTTTTCAAGTGAAAGATTCACTTGGTGTCTTTTAATACAGCTGATAAATTCAAGAACCCTGTGGCTGATTCTGTGGTCTGGATCATTCAGACTCCACTGTGTTCAATTCTAAGCCCAAAATGTGTTTAAACAGCTCAAAAGAGGATTTTTGCTTATTGATGAAAGTTTAAACTGAATAAAAATAGTAAATCTGATTTTATCATCTCTGACTTTTCATTCTGTATTTAAATCTAATACATTAACATAGCAATGAATGAACACAACCTCTGAAATCTTTTTAAGTATTTATTACTGTAATAAGTTTACATTTAGGGATAAATGCTGGTTATAGTGACACGACTTTGGCCTCGCTACAGTAAATAAAGGACACACGCCCTGGCCTGATAATCAGACTGAATTTCCATTTTGTTTCTCTTCTTTCTTCAGTGTGACGTTGTGTTCATATTAGCTGTTTTTTGTTTAGGAGGTCGGTGATTTCGCTCCAGGGTTGCGCGATTGCCTCTATTTTCATATCATCTGATCTAGGCTACTGGAGATCACCGATTGGGGATCTGATCGCCAGGGGGCGGGGTTACGTTGCAGCAAGTCAGTGAAATACCAGCATGGAAGAAACAGGCTTATTAGCTTTAAGAGAAACCACCAGAACCATCTGTTAATGCACAGTACAGCGTTTCCCACAGAATTACAGTGTAACTGTGGCGAGGAGGAAGAGGGTGCGATCGATAGCAGCTACGTACAGCGTGTCAACCTCAACCACCCAGCTTTATTCTAATGTTAACAAATCCGTCTCCGACACTGACAGCGTTGTGTTAAGAATAGGGATGGGGATCGTACATTTTTTTTTATATTGATACTGATTAACGATTCAATTCTTTATCAATACCACTATTGATACTTTACTGTTATTTGACCTAACGGGCATGAGGAAGATATTCAATGTGATATAAGATTGTTATATATTGAGGTGCCGTACGACCTGCGATAAATAAACATATATTGAAGTGTGCACATTAACTGTCTGGTTGTTTTTAAATGATTTATAGGATTAGAACTGATTATTTTAAATACAGCTAAATGTTGTTTCTAGAGCAGCAACATTGATGTTTACAAGAGCATAAACTCAATTTCTGACATCTGAGTAACGTTTAGAAAGAACAAAAACTCAGCCTGCAGGTGCCGGAGTGTCAGGTTTGAGTTTTTAAGACTACAGAGCAGTCTGAGCTCCAGACAGACAGCTTCCTATTAGCTTGTTTTTAACATTTGGCTAATGCCAAGCTAGCGTTAGCTGTGCTTGTATAAAACATACAGGACGAGAGACTGAGGACAGAGATGATTAAATTAACCCTTTCTATGTGTTTACCTTACAGACAGGTGTGTATTGATAAAGTATTGTCTTTTTACTCGGGAAGGTTTTATTCACAGTAACGAGCGCAGCTGTCGGCAACTCCAGGAGTCTGAGCGAACTTAACTCGACCGTCTCCACCGCGGCGTCTCTCTCTGCTGCTGCTGTGTGTAGGAGGCGACAGAGAGCAGCAGAGGCTGCAGCCTGATTATAAACAGACCCGGGCCCGTTTAATACTGCGTTTCGGTGAAACATTAGCTTTCTTATCCATCGCGTGGCAAGATTAATCAGATTTGACGCTGGAGACACACCGTTAGTCTCCATAGCAGCATCGATAAGCTCACACCTTATTGAACCGGGTCCTTTTAGAACCGGGTCTCGATGCCCATCCCTAGTTAAGAAAATAGACAGACTAACATTAGTTTTTCTATAAACACACGGCGCCCTGTCAGTGTGTTTGTGTGTGTGAGAGAGAGAGAGAGGGAGCGAGCAAGCGGAGGTGCTGAGTGATTCTATGCTCTCCTCCACAATTAATTATGATTTGCCTCATATTAAACAGTATACAGGATGTGGCGGTCAGCATTGATATTGTGGCGTGTCGAGTCGCCACAAAGGGGAATGAATGGGAAACAGAAAGAGACTGTTTTTATGTCATCTTAGTTCTGATAGTGAGTTTGTTAAAGTCGCCTTAATATCGACGCATGAAAAACCGTCGCTAAGCGATCCAGTCGCCAGTCGGAACAACCCTACTTTGCTCTAAACAGTCAGCAGTGACTGACACGTTTCAGTGGACACAGAAGCTGTGGTGGAGGTTGGAAGGAACTTCCAACAACATGTTCAGCTGTGTTCATGTCATCACACGTTTTGTTTTGGCACAGGATGATGACATCCACCCTTAATCCGTCCTACTACGCTCTGATTGGCTCGGTTGCTTTTCCAGCCGCCACTAACAACATCAACAGAAATATTTTGATCACTGAACAAATTAAAGATGTGGGCAGTGACTTAGAGGTCTGGAACCAGGTTGGGGACGGCGGGCTGCAGAAACCATCAGATCTGAGTCACACAGAATAAATTTAATTATTAATTCATCTGCACTCTGAGCTCCAGCATGAACGTTGCCACCTAAAGTCCAGAGCAGCAGAACAAGAAGCCAGTTAAACCAGTTACATCCTCTTCATCCATCTGCCCATATCTGACACTTAGTGTGCGCACATACACACACACACACACATAAACAGTAGGTCAAACGAGGCAGACGAGATGTGTCTACAGTCGGAGTTGCACCGTTTTATTTACACAAACAGCAGCTCTGTTGATTTTTAATCTGAGACAGCGGCAGCAGAAACTACATGCTAAGCTAACAGTTGCTATCAGTTGCATCAGACATCCATACAACAGAGGGTTCTGTAGAGATGTGTGGATTTGGAGAAATTTGTGCATAAAATTACAAATGCAGCTTAAAGTTTGCTGATGGAAACGTAACCATTTGAGTTTTGTTTGATGCAGCAGCCAGAGACTGTACTGTGCAAACATACTGGGCCAAGTAAATTGTTTTCTCCTGATCTCAGAGCAGCTATTTTGTGACCACAAAAGCCAAATCTTTATCTGCTGCAACCACAATATAACAAGGCAGTGATCACTTGAAAACGACACGTGAGAAACGATTACACACGTGAGCCCTTCAGCTCTCTGTAGGACAAACGATGAAAACCTCCTGCTGTGACGTTCGGTCGACTTCACTTCTGTGTTTAAAGCAGTTTCTTGTCTCTGTGTCTGTGATGTGGCTTATGTAATCTGTGGTCTCAGATGGTTAACTCCTGCCCGAACAGAACGGTAATCACCATCTGAACACGGCTGAAAACAGGACTCAGCTGAGGCCACGATAAAGGTTACGCAACACGACCATATGACTCAGCATGGACACACACGAATGTGAAACATGAAAGCACACAGAGAAGAGGTGTTCATATCACAATAAATCAACACTGTTGCTTTAACCAGAGCAGACACAGGTTGATATTTGACAGTTTCAAGAATCTGATAATGATACCTGCCGTAACATAAGTACATATTATAGGTAAGGTGGACAAAACTAAAACATCTTTGGTGTTTCTGTACCGTTTCTTTTCAGAAATCTGACATCAGATATCTCTTCAATGAGTCGGCCCAAATCAAGACGCAAGAAATAAAGTCATTTTTGTGACTCTACCTGTTCTGTTGTTTTCTATGACCAAGTGTATTCTCCTGTTTCCAGACGGCCCGGGTGACGGGAAACAGTGAAGGTGAGTACAAACCCAGGACGAGTCACATGCATCAGGAACACTGAAGTAAACGTGCATGAGGATTTTGATGGGTTGAGTTTTACTTTGTGAACTTTAATGCAACGTCTTGCTGTTCACCAAGAGCAAAGTTGATCAGATGTCTGAGAACATGAGAGATGTAGCCGGCTTTTGATGGTGTAGTGCTCTAAAGTTAGACTTTCAAAATAAAACTAGTTGTTAACGCTGTGAAACATCAGGGTGTGGTTAGGTTTAGGAAAAGATCATGGTTTGGGATAAATAACTTTGTAACTTACGTGACTTAATTTATGGATGTGAAGGACATAACTAATGTAACTTCACTAGAAAAGAATCAATATTGACCTCTTGTGTCACACAGGAAGTGAAGTCCGCTCTCGAGGGTGACACTCTGGCTTCTGATCCATCCTCCCCAACCACCTCCTTACTACCTCCGACTTTTCTGTTATTTATACTAGTCCTACTTTTAGCGGTCAACAACGACGCTTAATGCTGCCGTGTGCGTTGGTACCCGACGCAGAGGGACATGACAAAGCGTAGCTTTTTGACGCCCTGGGAATGAAAAGGAGCTTTTCTTTCTGAAGACCTGAAACATGAAACCAGCCTGAGCTTTTCTGTCCATTCAGATAAACGAGTGTCTCCTGCTTTACAGGAAATAAAATCACCTCGTTATTTTAAAAAGCCAACGTTTATGTTCAACAACTAGCCTCCCATGAGTCCATGACTTTATCGTATTATATTCTGTTCTACTGTACATGACCAGGTGGTAGATGCTGAATAGAAATGAAGGTGAATGAAACTGATTCATAAAATAAAGAAAAAAGAGATTTCTTGAGCAAGCTATTGACAGCGAAGAAACAAGTGATGTCAAACAATCAAAACCAGAGTAATAAAACAAGTATTATAATAATAATGTATTAAGTATCACAATAATAGGGTCATAATATGACTTTTAATTAAATTACTATAATTTTGTTATTCAATTTCTCCAAATTTAAGTATTTCTTATGGCATCCCTGGTGTCAGTATTTTTGGATCACTGTATGGTGGTAAGTGCATTGAGATAGAGAGAGAGAGATAGAGAGAGATAGAGAGAGAGAGAGAGAGAGAGAGATAGAGAGAGATAGAGAGAGATAGAGAGATAGATAGAGAGATAGATAGAGACATAGGTAGATAGAGAGATAGAGAGATAGAGATAGAGAGATAGATAGATAGAGAGATAGAGAGAGAAATAGGTAGATAGAGAGAGAGATAGATAGAGATAGATAGATAGAGAGATAGATAGAGAGATAGGTAGATAGATTGATAGAGATAGACAGGTAGATAGAGAGATAGAGAGAGAGAGAGAGAGAGAGAGAGAGAGAGAGAGATAGAGAGATAGAGAGAGATATAGAGAGATAGAGAGATAGATAGAGAGATAGATAGAGACATAGGTAGATAGAGAGATAGAGATAGAGAGATAGATAGATAGAGAGATAGAGAGAGAGATAGGTAGATAGAGAGAGAGATAGATAGAGATAGATAGATAGAGAGATAGGTAGATAGATTGATAGAGATAGACAGGTAGATAGAGAGATAGAGAGATAGGTAGATAGAGAGATAGAGAGAGAGAGATAGGTAGATAGAGAGATAGGTAGATAGAGAGATAGATAGATAGAGATAGGTAGATAGAGAGATAGGTAGATAGATAGAGAGATAGGTAGATAGAGATAGATAGGTAGATAGAGAGATAGAGAGATAGATAGGTAGATAGAGAGATAGGTAGATAGAGAGATAGAGAGAGAGAGATAGGTAGATAGAGAGATAGGTAGATAGAGAGATAGATAGATAGAGATAGGTAGATAGAGAGATAGGTAGATAGATAGAGAGAGATAGGTAGATAGAGAGATAGGTAGATAGAGATAGATAGAGAGATAGAGAGATAGATAGGTAGATAGAGAGATAGGTAGATAGAGAGATAGAGAGAGAGATAGGTAGATAGAGAGATAGGTAGATAGAGAGATAGATAGATAGAGATAGGTAGATAGAGAGATAGGTAGATAGATAGAGAGAGATAGGTAGATAGAGAGATAGGTAGATAGAGATAGATAGGTAGATAGAGAGATAGGTAGATAGGTAGATAGAGAGATAGATAGGTAGATAGAGAGATAGATAGATAGAGATAGATAGATAGATAGGTAGATAGATAGATAGAGATAGATAGATAGATAGATAGGTAGATAGATAGATAGATAGATAGATAGATAGATAGATAGATAGATAGATAGATAGATAGATAGAGAGATAGATAGATAGGTAGATAGAGAGATAGATAGATAGGTAGATAGAGAGATAGATAGATAGATAGATAGATAGGTAGATAGAGAGATAGATAGATAGGTAGATAGAGATAGAGAGATAGATAGATAGGTAGATAGATAGATAGAGATAGATAGATAGGTAGATAGATAGATAGAGATAGATAGATAGGTAGATAGATAGATAGAGAGATAGATAGATAGGTAGATAGATAGATAGAGATAGATAGATAGGTAGATAGCGAGTTAGGTTGATAGAGATAGATTTTCCAAGTGTAACACGTGCCAAATGTTGTTATTTGTTCCTATTTGTATGACCTTATGCTGAATAAGGACCATCTGAGGACCATCTCCCATTCACAGAGTCCCTGTGGGAATACTGGCCGAGATGGAAACCACCATAATAATAATAATAATAATAAGCTCATTTTAAACACTGACCACCGAACCCCCACAATTAAGCCTATGCAATACGGTCGTTGTATTATTCTATCGGCTGGTTTCGGATGATTTGAAGGGTGTGTGAGTCCCATGTGATGTGTACCAGCAGGTTGTGGGAGGCGGATGGAGGCCATGGCAGCAGCATCCTCCTCATCCTCCAGCCAGCCTCCATTTTACAACGAACCGAAGCGGAGACACAAAATATACCGCAAAAACAGGAACCCACGCAACAGCAGCGTGTCCCGCACAGCCTCGCCTCAAACACACAGTCGATGCTCATTATCCAAGAAAATAAAAAGCACCGAGACGCAAACCGCGGCAGGTTGTGGTTTGTGCCAATGTGCGTAGTAAAGGGCAGGACTGGGGGGGGAAAACGCCCCGCTGACAAAACAATGAAAACACACGCGCACACGGGAAAGACACGAAAGCATGGATGATGCATTCATCTAGAAATAAATTTAAAAACACACGATGCTCGTTTTAAAACAGCTCAAACGGAGAGAAACGCAGATTTCTTTCGGGGTTTTGTTTTGAACAGCGCCCCTCTCTCCATTCCTGCTCCAGCATCTCCATCTTCATACAGAAACAACACGAGACACTGATCTGACAATAAGAAACAGAAAGAACAGACGTGTGCGAGTAAAAGCTGCAGGTCAAGGTGTTTTTACCTGAAAAACAAGCCGCTGGTTGTTCGGTGATGGTGATGAGCTTCTCTCCTCTGATCGCAGCACTAACAGGCCGACGGGCTGTACTCTCTCTCTCCCGCTGTGTCTGCACCTCGCTCCACCCTCCCTCTCTAATTTAATTCACTTCATGTCACTGAAGCTCTGGCGTCACGAACTGATTAAAAAATGTACTAAAGTATAAACGGACCGACCCCCCCCCCCCCCCCCAAAAAAAAGAGAGTAAAAAGAGTGAGCCTAATGATGGGTTACACATGGAATAAAACATTTACAAAAATACAATTTTATTCTTAGAAGAAATAGGGGTATCCTCACAAATCCTCATTTTCTAAAAGAATTACTACTTTTCAAAAGTGCCCCCCTGTAAAGGTCCCACATTGTGCTAACTTTCAGGTTAATTCTTTCTGCCATATTTCCATGTCCATAGCTTCAGCACCTCTCTTCACTCTCTATCTGAACACTCCATTTTAGCTCCTGTCTCTTTAAGCCCCCCACTTCCCTGAAAGCCTACTTTCTTCTGATTGGTTTCCTGGAAGTCCTGGCCTTAACCTTAACCAACCCAAACCAAAGGAGGCAATGGGCCCAATCACAATGTCCCCCCTGAACCCTTACAGACTTCATTGGCATCGCCTGTCTCCTACTTTCTTCTCTTTTAAGCTGGGTTAGTGGGCATGTAAGGCTGAACTAGTTCGAACAGAAGCCTTCCTAGTAGAGGAAAATAAAGTTTGATATGCCGGATATGTAATAAATGCTCAAAGGGCTTTGAATGATTAATGATGGAGGATGGGAGCTGCCATGTTGTGCAGGGGACATCATTTGGAGACAGAGTCTGTGCAGTAATGATCAGCCTACTCTGCCTCTGATTGGCTTAGCCTGATGATGCCGTTTTCCACGTGGCCCTCGCTGAAAGAACGTTCAGTTTTGAGTTTAGCAACTTAGTTCGGTTAATGATCTTGAGCTTTCAAAAAACATAAACAAATGGACTGCATTTAGAAAAACATATCGCGGCTTAACAATCTTGAGCTAACCTGCCGAAGACGGCAGAAGAGAAAACACTGTTCTTTAGTGAGAGCTACATGAGAAACGTCATTGTCAGGCTGAGCTAATCAGAGACACAGTAGGATCATCAATAATAATAATAATCATGAAACCACCTTTTACAGGCTCAAATAACTAATTGAACTTAATGTGATATAACTCATTTGATGTGTACACTTCTATAGTTGATAAGATGGAGGGGGCGGGGTTTATTACCTGCAGCCAACAGGGGGTGCTCATGATGTGCTTCACCTTTGGGGAGTTGTCATATCGTATGGGATGAATATCCTGCCATGTATCAAAACTGAAAATAAAGTTCTGAAAGATTGAAACTAAGTGTTTGAAAACTCAAAATCTTACAAAAAAAAGTTTTGCAAGATCAAAACATTTTTTTCAACCTTAACTTTCAGAGTTTTAAACCTTTTTTTCACACATTCCCACACCAGTTTTCAGATCACCATTTACAAGGTTTCAAACCTGGAAAACAAACGAATACGCTGGGAGAACACTGGCAGATTTGAAACTCTGAAAATCTGTTTGTGCAACATCGTAAAAAAAAAAATGTTGCAGTTCTGAAGAAGGAAAACTCAAAAACAACATAACGTCTTTTTTAACATTTTGCAAGCCTGCAAATCTTTTTTTTGTAAGATTTTGAGTTTTCAAACACTAAAGCTGATGATACACAGAGCAACTTTTAGAGCAATCGTGAAGGACAACGTTGCCGTCAATGGTAATGAGTAAAGATTACTACTGTAATCCCCTTCCCCCATCACTCCGCCACCCGCCCCGCACCGCCGCTATCCGTTCAAAACATAGTCGGACTTGCCACCAGCAACATTGCTCAAAAAGTTGCCCCGTGTATCATCAGCTTTATTTTCATCCTTTCAGAACTTTATTTTCAGTTTTGATACATGGCAGGATATTGATCCCACATATCGTCCATCTTTATAAACCGTCTATTGTACAGCCTCACAGAGGTGCTAACGCAGCTGTAGACACTTCAGAGCTTGTTCTATCCCTGTTATCAGTAGCAGCTAGCACAGACTAACCCTGGTGAGGTGGAGCCACACTGCTTGAGATCGGCTTCCTGGGTTTAGAGTAACTCAGAGTTCTAGGTGTGTAGATCCGGATGCCTGGGTTATGGGAATCATTTCCAGGAAATTGGTGGATATTTCAGCTTGCTGTAGTTCACCTGTTGAGTCTAGGTGTTAACTGTTATTGATCTGATTTGCTATTGATTATCCCTCTTTCTTTTCTCCTCCAGATATGGCTTCACCCAGCGTTTCCCTATCTGCAGAGCACTTTTTGTGTTCAGTCCGTCTAGAACTTTTCACTGAACCCGTCTCCGCTCCCTGCGGACACAACTTCTGCAAGGGCTGCATCGCAGGCTACGGGGCCCACAGTGGCTTCAGCCAGGGTCCACTGTGCCATGAGAATTTCCACAGAGCCCCCGAGCTGCGAGTCAACGCAGAATCCAGAGACACGTTGGAGGTTTTCTAGAGGATAAAAGTTGCAGGTGACGACAGTAGTTCCCCTGCCAGGCCTGGGGATGTGACCTGTGACCTCTGCCATGGGATGAAGCATAAGGCTCTCAAATCTTGCCTGGTTTGTCTGGCTTCGTACTGTAATGCTCACCTGAAGCCACATCACACGGTTCCGGCCTTAAAGTGGCACAAGCTGATCAACGTGTGCTCAAGAAACACAACAAGCTGATTGAGTTTTTCTGCAGGAAAGACGGGAGTTGTGTTTGCCTTGTGTGTTTGAAGCATGACCACGTGATGCACGAAGCCATCTCTTTAGAGGAAGAGACTGAGGAGAGGAAAACTAAGCTGAAGTACAAAAATACAAATCAAGCACACTGACCGAGAAGTGCATCATGGCTCAGAGGTTTCAAAACTCAAAGATGCACGGACAGCAGGAAGTTGACAGCACGAAAGCAGCAACTGTCAAGGCCTTCGCTGCTCTGGTGGCCTCGATTGAGACCGAAAAGGTGAAGCTGATTGAAATGTTGGAGGAGAAGCAGAAAGCAGCAGAGCAGCAGGCTGAAGCACTCACCAGACAACTACAGCTGGAGATCACAGAGATCAATCGTAAGTTTCAACCTGGAAGAGCTCTCAAAGACTGAGGACTACTTCAGACTCCGTCAGGACCTCCCATCTGTCTCCTCCTCTTCAAACACAAAACACAAAACACAGCCAGTGTCCAAAGTCATGTATGTAGAGACAGTGAGGAGTGGGGTGGCCAAGATGGAGGCGATGCTCAACGAACAGATGGAGATTATTATCAGAAGCCAATCTGGTAGATAAAGAGAAGACAGATGAGGAACCGATGCAGACCCAAACAGAGAATGTATTTAATGATGAGCTCGGAAAGATCCAAGAGCAATATGCAGTAAATGTGACTCTGGACCCCAACACGGCACACCCCTCCCTCATCCGCTCAGAGGACAGGAAGCAAATGAGGGATGGTGGCACAAAGAGGAACGTCCCTGACAACCCCACAAGGTTTGACTTTCTCCCTTTTGTCCTTGGAAATGAGGGGTTCTCTTCCGTGATCTCCTGTCCCTGGACACCCCGACGCCCCACTCCCTCTCTGATACCTACAACAGGTCGTGTCGCTATCACGACCGGCGCGCTGTGAAACAGTTGGTGACTGTTCCCTCTGGCTGGATGAATTTTACGTGTGATCTGTGCACTACTGCAGCTGGGGGCTCTCCACAGCACCACGCAACTTTCTAAATTCTTCCATCTCACGGAGAAGTCAGGTCGAAACCAAATTTGCTTGAATGTTAATACAACAGTGTTGCCAAAGCTAAAGGAAAATACAAAAAAACAATTCAATTCATATAGTTAATCGAATAAATACAATAAAATAATTGTATTTCTATATATTGGATATAGAATATTAATTAATATAATTAATAATATTTTTGAAATATAATAATATTATCTAATATTGTTAATTTCTCTACGTTTTCTTTCATCACGTGTCTCCTTCTCACATCGATAACAGCAGCCATCTCTGCAACACTTGGCTTTTGCGCCTTCCTGTCAAACGTATTAATTACGGATGCTGTTGCACTCACATGAAATTGCGTTTAGGCGTGTTAGATCACACTGCGTGTAGTAAATAAATGTATTTGTATGTTACCCTCCCGTTACTTTGCACAATAAAACTGAAACACCCCAAACTGCATATTCATTAAGGCAAAAGTAGTAAATGAACAACAGGTGCTATCTGGCACTTTTAGAAGACGTCATTCTGCGTGCACACCGTTAGTAGATCAGCCCACGTGTTAATTTGCTAGTGATGTGAAGTTTGCACACGTTTTTACTCATGCGATCCTTTAGCAGATCTGGCCCATAGTGTACACTGCCCTCTGGGGGTCAAGGTATGTAATGACATCTTTGCGTATTTTGAAATGGGTGCAGTTATTCCCCAAAATTATAAATGCTCGGATGCAATCAACTGTACCAAAAGTACCAGTGGGAAAACAGGCAGTGATGTTCAGGTTTTTGAAGAGGTGTTTTTTCTTAATTTGAGTCAGTGAACTCTTTTAAGTCCCTTCTTAAAACATACTTTTATAGGAGAGCCTTTCCCGATCTTATTTGACTTTATTTTATCCAGGGACGTGCACAGGGGGGTTGCTCTGGTTGCCCGGGCAACTGCCCGTTTGCCTTTCCTGACTCAAGTTGCCCTTCCGAGAAAAAAAAATAAAATAAAAAAATAATCGCGATCGCAAAGCCTCATTCACTTCCATTCAGCAGGGGAAGAGCAAACTCTGTTTAAGTGGCTGCACTGCTGCAGCGCTGCCTGCACGTCAGTCGATTCTGTTCCCTACCGGAATTCCTGTTTCCTTCCTTTATGCAATCATACTACAACAAATCATGCGTAGTTTTGCCCAGTTACCATACGTGATACGTACCAACAGAAGTGAATACGAGCTAGAAGCGCAACTGAATGTACGGGAAGCCAAAAGGTTAAAAAAGGATTGTATTTTTTTCCGAAATCTAAGCGTTTTTTTATTTAATATTTTATTAGAAGCGAGTTTTCCCCATCTGTCAATTCAATCTAGATTATTTATTTTC